TATTTTTAGTTCCATTTCATTGCTATTTAGTTGTTATTTCTTTATTGACAATTGACCTATGATTGAGGTATTTTAATATTTCATAGCTATGTTTTAATAAATGTTTATTTATTTTCAACAATCCATTATCCTTTTTCATACTAACACGTAGTTTTAGTGCCTAGCGTTATATATGATAAGGTATCTGTAACAATGAATCAGACACATCTATCATATATAAATAACTTTTGAGAAATAAAAGCGGATTTATTAAAATGGTTTTTAAATTCTTATAAATGATGATTTTCATATATTGGTCTGAAAAAACTACAAACTTCGCATGTTCTATTTTATTACCCAGCTTCGGAATTTGAAACCTGAAACGAGTAGATAGTTATGTAATCAATCGTTATATCTTATGGTAATGAGGTAACCTACTCCATTACACTTAAATATAATCCAACATTGCTGGTCACGCCAATAGGATCGCGTATTCATGTGCTATGCTAATGCAGTAATATCATGTAAGATTACAATTTGAATTGATTAAATCGATAAGTTACCTAATCGATTTGATACACTGAAGAGTATTGTTTGTGAACCAAATGTTTCGTCAGCAAGTGATGTTTTCAAAAAGCCACAATAATCATATTAATTATTAAATATATTTATGTATATATAATTGACTAGTGGCCCGCCCTCGCTTTGCTTCTGTGTAGAGCTGTAGTGTAGACTATAGTTTTTGTTTAACGGCTTGTATTATACATATTGAATTTCTTCATAATAATTATAAACTTTCCATTTGAAGTAAAAAAACTGTTACGTAGTTTAAGACCCGTTGTACCGAATGCACACTTGCTCTGCTTTTCCGATTTGAAAAATTATTTTGTATTACATAGTGCATTTATCGAGGAAGGCCATAGGCTATATAACATTAGGCTACGACCAGTAGCAGCGAAACATCGATGAAAAATGATGCAAAAACTGGTAAAAATATTCCATTTGTGAGATTCCGTTGTGTGCGATGGGTAAACGGTTAACGTTACACAAAAATCATGTATAACGGAATTGTTCTCTTTAAAAGTTCTGTGAAAAAGTCCGGGGCAGAATTTTAAGTTTGACTAATTATAACCTTTTTCTTCAAATTAACGCCGGTGTAGCCGCAGGAGACCTATAGTTGTGACATAACTGTTATAATTAGACATATGGTATCGCGGACTTTTTTTGTAGATATCGATGTCCTCTATAAAACTTTAGTATATTATTTGGCTCTATTGGCAATGACTTCCGCAGCGTACGCGACATAAGTTATTTTTGGTATTTTTTATACACGTTGGGTTACATTATCGAAGTTTTCATACGGAACCCTAACCTTTTTGTAAATACTCTATAGCCTATGTTCATCACTGATAATGAAGGATTCCAAACGTGGAAGATTTTTTCGGATCGGTCCAGTAGTCCCTATTCGTTACAAACAAACAATCAAATCTTTTCTCTTTATTATATTAGTATAGATGCAATATAGTATAGTTAATTATCATGAGTCATGGCAACGCTCAACCTTTTTTAAATTTATTAGTAGTATCAAGTTTTTTATTTAGGAGACTTACCTTTAATAAATAATAAGGGATTTTTTTATTTCCACAAAACTCGTCAGATTAATCTATTCGTTAATTAAAATTTATGTATAGCCAACCTTAGCTTGTTTTGTTAATCCTCTTGAATGTCGAAACTCAACTCCATTTACTAATTAGATTTATGTTTAACGGTGGAAATATGATTAGGGTTAGGTAAGAAGGTAATTTATGTCGCCCTTTTACTGGCTGACGGTTACGGGTCTCGTGCAGTTTTCGCAACTTTCGCAATGGTCGCTCAATGGATGGGTGACCAAACACTTTATTATCTTGAGCTCCTCCGTGCTTCGGAAGGCAACTTAAGCCGTTTATTCCGGCTGGATATAATTTTTATTCAGGTTATTATCAACTTAACAAAATGTTTCTATGCAGCTATAAATAAATAAACAACAAAGGGAATCCCCCCTTTTTGCTTGACTTTTAAGTTAACTGTATTCCAAATTTTAAAATTGGGCAAATGAACATAAATCTTTCGTGTGCGATTCATTATTTAGCACTTGAACAAATTCATTATTGAAATCATCATAGCATTCCTGTTGAAATTGTCCGATCAAAAGATTTATTTTTTCTTGTTTACATGTCATTAGATAAATGTTCTGCAATAACTTCTTTTATAATTCTTATCACATCGTACTACTTACATAAAACCTCTTTATTTTCTCTTCAGATCAACAACCTTATTACTAGGGATGCAAAGTCTTTTGAAATATCGATATTTATATCGAAGTCAGGCAAATATCGATATCCGATATATCGACCATTTTAACTCGATATTATCGATATATCGATATTTTTTTCTTTTTTTTTGCTTTGTATTAAGTTTGCAAAGCAAAAGCCTAAAATTAAGGAAGCAAAGGTTTCCGAAATATCGATATTTATAATGTGGGCAGGTAAATATCGATATCCGATCAGATATGTCAGCCATTCCAACATTTCCAACACGATATTTTCTATATTTTTTATAGCGCTGTAAGAAGTATCAAATCAAAAGCAATTTCGAATCAAAGATATTTATTTTGTTTAAAATATTTGCACGCAGCCAAAATCAGAATAGATAATCATATGAAAAACAATTGTTATGAATTAGTAAAACCTACACATCAGGCTTCAGAATAGGGTAAGCCCAAAGCTTCCAAAATTACTATACCTATCTTACTTTCTTGACTTGGCGAGCTTAAAAAAATTACGATTTGTATAAGATTCTTAATTTTATTTTGTGTTATATTACAATGATATTAAATTTCAATTAATCAGTAGTTGACAATTATCTAGAAAGAGAGGCAAGGATTTTATTTAAGTGCATGAGTTACCATTAGGTATACGATTATACCTATATACGTTGGTGTCGATTCTGGCATGATTATCTAAATTTAACATCAGTCTCTCCTTTTCATTCTGTATAGAGAATGACAAGGATACACTGTTGTCAAATTTAATTTTAGGTTTAGAGAAACATGCCAGAGTCCACACCAGTTTAGTATATTTCTTGGGGTTCAAGATATTTTTGATACATCTATAAGTTCTTGCAATTTCAAAGCAATAGTTATTTCGATATTATTCAATTTAGATAGTCATAGCAGGTAAATTAATTGATATTATTGTTTTCAAATTAAGTCTACTAAATATCGATATTTTGGAATTTCCGATATCGATATTATCGTTTTTCTATTTTTAGGGTTCCGTACCTCAAAAGGAAAAAACGGAACCGTTATAGGATCACTTTGTTGCCCGTCCGTCCGTCTGTCAAGACCGTTTTTCTCAGGAACGCGTGGAGGTATCAAACTGAAATTCATACGAATATCTAATACTCATGTCTATTGTCACTTGGAGCTGTGAAAAAATCAAACTTCCAAGCCAAAGTAATCAAAAGATACAGCCGTTTATGCAGAAAATTTTCGAAACTCGCACGGGAACAAAACCTACAGGGTACTTCCCCTGAACTTAGAATCTTGAAATTTGGTACGAAGTAACATCTTATAGTACAGATAAAGGAAACATTGCAAAAACCGTAAATTTTTATTTACATCATATAATAAAAAATATTTTTGAAAATTTTAAAGTTACTACATCTTTTCTCATGAACTTGTAGAGGTATTAATTTGAGTTTGTACGGAACCCTCGGTGCGCGAGTCCGATTCGCACTTGGCCGGTTTTTTAAGATGATAATAAATAAATAAGTAAACACTGTTCCTGAGCAAACACTGTTGTTTAGAATTTAAATTTTATACTTACAGTGTTAGCAATGCATCGATTATGCGTTTGATATTTTGTTAATAGCGAACTTATCGAACACATGCCGCCTTATTACAAAATGTAGTCTGAAGTTAAACCTAAAGTAAAATTAACGCTGTCACTTTCGTTTGCTAATAAGAAGACAGTGACAACGTTAGGTTTAAACTAAGAGTAACTTTAGTCCAAGTTTTGGAATAAATCTCTGGTCATTGATTAACAAATATCATTTGAGTGATATGAACAAAACACGGAGTAACTAGACAAAGCTTATTCGTCGTTTATTAATATGGGGGATAAAGATTTAATTGCATAACTTTAGATTTGATTGATAACTTAAAAAATCCTGTTTTTGTTCCCTGATGATCTTAAAAATTCTTAAAATCCCCTGTAGGTTTTCATTCTCGTGCGAGTTTTCTTAAGGTAGGTATTTGCTAATTACTTATTATATAATATCTTATTCCCCAACTCCGTAAAATAGGGAATGGGAGTTTGTGTGAGACTTCCACAATTTTGACGCTATACCTCCTACAGTCAAAGTCAAAATTGCTGTACGAAAATTTTCTTAATGAACATTAAAAGGCCCACAAGTAATTGACCTAATTAGAAATTTTAGATCATTCAATATTAGCTTCTGCCGCCGTTATTAGAATCTCAAAAAAAACTTCCGGAATGAGAGTATTCTGTGTCTTGTACTATTAAATTATAAGCCATCCTTGTAACATATAAAATAATTTAAAGAAAAGTTTACTAGAAAAAAAAATCCACGCGGACCAGGCAGCGGACGGACGATCTTTAGATTTAAACATCTAGCAGTTAAATGCTTAAAAATAAATAAAATCATAAATATAAAATAATGTTTCAGTTGAAGTTATAAAATATATATGCCTTATTACAAAACTTAGACTACAGTAAAACTTGGGCTAAAACGGATGCTGTCACTTTTGTTCGCTAAAACAAAGACAGAAACAACAACCTTAGACCAACCAACAGTCCATGTTTTTCGAATAAGGCGATAAGTGTGCAATTCATACTTTAGTCAGCTGTTTTGAGTGATTGATAACTTAACAAGCATACAATCATTCACATAGCCTGAATCATAACAAATCATTGAAACTGTGATAAAAGAAATTTCAACCCTATCTCGTTTGTTCGCAGGTCTAGATCCGTGCAGTACCGATGTTCTAGAGGCCCGCGCACCAAGCAGCAACAGCCGCAACCATGTCGTCGGTGAAGGTGGCGGTCCGGGTGCGCCCCTTCAACTCGCGCGAGATCGCCAGGGAGTCCAAATGCATCATCGAGATGACGGGGAACACTACAAGTGAGTTGTTAGGTGTAGATTCGTACACTACCGGCGTTCTAGAGACCCGCGCACCAAGCAGCAGCTGCCGCAACCATGTCGTCGGTGGAGGTGGCGATCCGGGTGCGCCCCTTCAACTCGCGCGAGTTCGCCAGGGAGTCCAAATGCATCATCGTGATCATGGGGAACACTACAAGTGAGTTGTTAGGTCTAGATTCGTGCAGTAGGTACCGATGTTCTAAAAGCTGGCGCACCAAGCAGCAGCAGCCGTAACCATGTTGTACTGTACTCCACTATTGCTGTTTAAGTGTTAACACTAATAAACGTAGAAGGATAGTTAGTAGTTTAATTTGCTATAATATTCGAAAACTTTTGAATGATTACCAAAAACAAAACCTACCTCTAAGAAAAATCCTTTTAGTGGAAAGAATCCCACTTGGCCCTTAAAAAGGTTTTAACAGCGTAATTTACTACGCTTTTGCGTGACTCTTTTTTATAGCTTTTCCTAACTTCCATGTCACCTTGAAGGCTTAAGCCCACCCCCCACCCCCTAATGAAGAGTGACGCTAACAGCCCTCTGAACTGCCCTCTGTCTATCACTAAATGCACTATAATAGCCGACTACAATAGCTGTCGCGTTAATTGGAAATTATAATGGTTTCTGTGACAATTTATCAATATTATGTATAACTAAACTATTTTATAGGTAAAGGTATTGTTAATATGACTTAATGAATTATAAGTCTTGAAGTGCGTCATTATGCATAGACATTGAGTGTATTGTTGTCCTCAAAAAATAAATATGAATCATAATAAAAATAAATATGTATGTATTTAAATAAATCCTGCAATTTTGAAATATTTTAATCTTCTGCCGGTTTCGCTAATGCTACGCCTACGGACACTAGAAGAAAAGCTTATGAAAATCTTGTCCCTGAAGCAACGCTTGCAATGAGACCAACTTCGAGAATATGTAAAACATTTGTTAGCTAAAATAAGTCACTAAGCGGAGTAGCTTGACTTTTCACATTATACGCAATGAGAATACTGATCTTTGCAATTTTGCATTATCAGCAATGGAGGTTATTGCATGGAGTTACAAAAATATGACTTAAGGTCGCCAGTGAAGTCTTTCATGTTAACAATGTCAGGAAAATCTATGAAACTACCTTGCAGTAGAAGTTAGACTTCCGGGGAAATGATGCGAGGTGATCACATAATACAGAAAAAAAGATGTTCTGTGGTGGTGATCGTATTTTGAGAATGAATTTTCAACTAGGTAGATACTGTACTAAGATCAACTGAGACCATTAAAAGGTGTTAGATGTTTCGTTTAACTCAAAGCGTCTTCATTATTGCTGTCACGTACATAAATGAGACGGCAAATGGACTATCCAAACGTTAGAAAAGGCGGGACTTTAAACTGTACGACCAATTAGAGCTCAGTTCTGGTACTCTAACCACGGACGAGAAACTTCCAATTGCCAGCTAACGAGTTCCTACCTCGTTAGTTTTGCACCGGCATCCTCCACTTAATATATACAATTTGCTGAAACCCTTCAAGGGAATTCTGACTCAAATACACTCGCTTTAGTGGCGATATCTCTGCGAACTGTAAGGTTATGTATTCTTACGTCTAGACGCTTTATACGAAAAAAAAACAAGTTTGTTTTAGTAGTGTAGTTTTACTATACTTACGTATGTTACACTAGTTATAGTAGTGTAGATTTTTTGCAATTATCTTAATAGTCCGAGATCCCAAGTCTGCCAGATCTTACTTATTGTCTGGTGGACAAAATATGGATAATCGAGTAGTTCTCGCTAACTTGTGCTATGGGCCAATTCTCAGGTCTCAGGTGGCACAGGTACGTAAAGATTTTACTCACCTTAAGTCTGAGGACTGATGCTTACGTATGTTGTAGAGAATATTGTAAACAATTTGAAATAAATACTGCTAGACCCATTTTGTCAGCCAGACACTTTAAATAACAGAAGCAAAAGACACAAATACTTCGCAGATATTTTTAGGTTTTATAAAAAAAGTGTAAACGCAAAAGTAGAAACAATCTTTTAATTACCTACAACTTTGCCATTTTTTCCCCACTCTCCCGAGAATCGCGATAAATTGTTTCCGCCTTTAAAAGGTCTCCCCCACCAGTCCCGACTCAAATCGCACATGAATTATCTTTGCTGTTGTCTTTCTTGAAATGGGTTTCATCCTATTCTGAATTCTTTTGTTCTGAAAAATTATCGGCCCTCGCCTATACTGCTGTCGTACCTTTGATGCTGTACCTATAGATGTAAGGCCGGTTTAAAACCAATTAAACCAATCCGTTTAAAACTGAAATAAACCATTTTTTTCGATTTAAAACGGTTGGTCTTGATTTTACCGAGGTAGGAATATAACGGAGTACCTATATATAAACTGTATAAAGATTTTTTAAATGTGTGATATACTTACTGATATTGATAGACTTAGCGAGTTTAGTTCTAGATGGTCCATCCGCGACCAAGCATCGGTATTACCTACCTAAGTTATAACAACTCTTATCATAAGTTAAAAACTCTGTGTTGGTAAATAAAAAAAAATGTTTTCAAACGATATAAATCAATTCAATCAATTTGATTCGGTTTAGAACCAAACACACTCTCGCACTCTCGTTGACGTCACTCGTCGTTACTCGACGCAAACGTGTCCAGCTCGCTTACCCTACACACACATGCACATACATAAACTGCCGGCCGCCCGCGCCGCGCACGCACGTTTCTCAGGCGCGAATACAACAGGGGGTAGGTTGGGACATGGATGGAGTCTGCTGACAATAACTACATCATGTACAGTCACGTCACAAGCCCATTTTAACAGTTAACATCTCTATGTATCTTGTTGTATATGTCAAAATGTGCTTTTAAAAGAAACCCCCTGATTGTAGGTACGTTCGCATGTAGTTTTTGTATCTTTATCATAGGGGTTTGTTATTTATGATGACTGTAAATAAAGAAGCAGTACAAAATTTAAAAAAAAATACCATAATAAAGTGTAAAAAACATAGTTCTTTTATTTATGTATGCCAGTTTTCAACCGTTTAAAACGATTTATTTGGGGTTTAAAACGGCAACATTTGGTTTAAAACGTTTTAAATCGGTTGTTTTACATCTATAGCTGTACCACATCCACAAGGGCTTTAGCCTTCAACTATGTTTTTATGTTTATGATTTATATGTGGCATTCTTGTCACATTCACAAGTTCATTGTCACGTCATCGCGTCGCGTGGCGTTCAAACGGCTCATGCCGTAAAACGCGTGACGTCACTGAGTCCGTGCGTCACATCCCCCACCCACTCAAATACCATTAATATGCATTAAGTTTACAGGGAACGGCTCTTACACTCAAAGATCAGTATCTATAAAATAAATTATCGCCCTTTTTATAGCCCTATTATAGAAAAACTTAAAGTAATGCACTGTGGAAGTATCCCTATTAAAGTCAACAATTTCTAGATTGAAACACATTAGTTTTCAGTAGCGACGAACGAACTTAAAAATACATTTCTTAGCATTATAGAATATTTTCATACAATTAAATTATATAAAATTCAATCAATCAATCAATCAAATAATTTATTGCATTCATATAGTTACAGAGATGGTTAAATACATGTTATAAAGTCCGTTACATGAACCCTGTCAGGGTATCGCAATACCTGGTGTTCTTACGAATAAAATTTAAAATAATCTAATATACAATTTAAATAAAAATTTCTTGAATTTACGTAATATAAATATCTACTATCAAAATTCATATATTTCATCAATTATTCTATAAAAAATAATATAAATAATTAATTAAAATTGAAGTATAAAATAAAATGAGAACTATGTACATACAAAATTAATAATATAACCCACCTTAAAATGAACCGTCATCGATCACAAACATAATATATATTTTAAAAGCAGACAATCAAACAATCCAATTAAGTAATTAAGAATCAAATAAAATTATATTATATCATTATCATGTCAATCAATCTTTCTAAAAACATATTTTTCTTTAATAATATTTATTTAGACGTAAGGTACTGATCTATAGAGTAATAGCATTTATTTATCAAGAGCTTTTTTTAATTTATTTTGAAATATGTTAATGTTTTGTTCATTTCTAATTTCTTCTGGTAGCTTTTTATGGCCACATACTTTGGACTACAATTCAACATTTTGATCCTAGATGAAGGTAGGTGTAACCTATTTTTATGGCGAGTGTTTAGATTATGTGTATTACTTACTATTAAATAAATGGATTTTTCTTTTTGAGCATAAAGTAGTAGTATCATAAATGTATATTGAAGGTAACGTTAAGATTTCATACTTTATAAAATAAGGTTTACAGCAGAGAGCTGTAAACCTATATCTATATGTGCGAGAATTCTAATGCACTTTTTTTGTAAAATAAACAATTCTTCAGCATCTACACTATTTCCCCATAACATAACTCCATACCTAAGCCAGGATGTATGAATATGCATAATAAGTAGAAATTGCAGTTTTCAAGTTGGTGATACATTTTATTTGAAACAGCGCATAAGTAAACTTCGATAATTTGGCTTTAATATGTGCAACACGCTTCTTCCAATTTATGTTTGTATCAATGTTTACTCCAACTATTCATTTACCACTACTATTACTACTAATTTGTATTGAATTACAATTTCATGTTTTTGTGTATCCTAGTAGCTTAGCTTATCTAAAAATCTTTGTATTTTGGTCTGTACCTTAAGATTGCTTCTTAACAGTTTCCAGCAACAAACATTGTAGAAAGTAATTAATTTGAATTTAGAGTATGTCCGTTTCGTAGGCGAGCGATTACCGATATATGCACGATACACGATGGGCCACCCCCGTTCTGTTTCACGTGGTACATTCACAAACCGCGAGGGCGGCCGCAATGCGCTGCGATAGCCCATAAACCCCATTATGCGCCGTAAACCTTGTCCATGGGGCGCCCGATGCCCATAAATCC